CTTTATAACCGATGAGGCTTTTCTGTTCTCCTATTCACTGCTTGGTTTGTAATCACATATCTGTTTATTCTTATGAGCTTTGATTTAAAAGAGCCATAAAACTGAAATGAAAAATCCTTATCCCCAAAAAAACAATTGTCATCAGTCTTACATCAGTTCATTGCATGCAATTCAGCTTGTTTTTATTAGAGGTTCAAAGTGATCTGAAGCTGGTGGGTAAAAGGTGGTTGGGGTAAACAAAACAGTAACATCTCAAACTTCAGTCACATACTGCTTTGGCCTTAGGTACAGACCCATCAAACTCTGAAAGAGCAGGAATTTGATTTTTCAGGGCCCTTGGAATTCAGTGGAGTGAATTTGCTGTTATTTTCTGTAAAGTATTTTGTAACAAGAAGGAACAAGGAAAGAAAAACCACAAGACCTGACTTTAAAGTCAAACCTGACATAAGTTCAGTGTGTGACTTTTAGTATCATCTTCAAAATGCTAAAGCACTAAGAGCTTCAGGGGTGTGACAACTTCAAAAAACCAAGGCCAGTGCTCCCTATGCCATATCTCTGTCTACAGAATTTGAATAATAATAATAGTAGTAGTAGTAGTATAATAATGATGATGATGATGTAGTTTAATTCACAAGGACCTTCTATACAAACGTTTTTTTCTTTTCTTTGAGACCCCTAGAAATTAAAATATAATCAAATTTCCCCTTGTCTCTCTTTCTACCTCTCTAATAGTGTATCCTGGAAGAAAGGGAACTTGACTGTGTAACCAATTTAAATGGGGTTCAGAGCATGCACCCATTGTTCCTCATGTTTTTCTGGCATTACTGTTTGCCCACCATACTGAGCAGAACCTGATTCTTGCTTGAGAACAAAAATGACATGCAACTAAATATTTGAAAGGGAACCTTCCTGATTTAGGAGGGCAGGACATAAGATTGTGTTACTGTATCTAGCCCCTAGTCACCACAAGTAGCGATACTACACATTTAGCTAAATGTATATGATCCCAGTAAAACTGCCTGCATTTAACTGAGGACTTCCCGCTGATCAACAATTTAGAAGGAGCTGTGTGCTCAAATGAAACCAGGAGGAAGCCACTCAGCATGTTGAAAGGATAAGTTGGAGCATAAGACCGTGACTGTGCAACTATTCTTGATGTCTCTGAGGGCTTTGTCCTGTGGTTAGACTTACAGGAGAGTCAGTGAGATGATGTCTGCAGTGTCACACTCAGCAGAGTGACAAAACAATCAATGACATAATAGAGCTTAGAACAATGTAAAAAATCATTAGGAAAGTAGTTAGTACAGACAAATGAATGCAGATTGCATCAACAGAATGAGAGAGAAGATAATTATAAATTTTTCAGAAACAAGAATTTTAAAACTTGGTTTGGTAAATGTTACTCATGTTTGGTTAACAAACCAGACCAATACTGACACAAAAAGCATCACATTTTAGGTATTAAACTGTAGCAATTAATGGAGAAGATTCATTTTTGGGTGATATCTCTCTAAAGTGGTCTGAGTAATAAGATTGTCTGTGACTTGGTTTGGTTCTATTGATCAGCTAGTGATTGCAGATCAAAATACTGTAAAATGATCTGATTTCATCAGTTCAACTGGTTTCAACAGTTCTCAGTCTTTCATTCATTGTTGTAGCATGGATTTGAAGGAAAACCTTAGTTTTTTGAAAAATGCCCCCCCCCCCCGCCCCCCGCCCTTGGAAGGTATCATGGTGATTTTTTCTTGCAAAATGAAAAGCCTTCTCCTGTCAAGCTTTAGGCTCCTCATATATACTCCTGTAAGAACACCGAAAGTGCCTATGTTCTTCCAGTAGCTGCTAAAGCTCTCATCATCTCCCTCATCACTTTTGCTGGATAATCCTTAAAGGCAATAGTGTCATTTGCACCAATGTGACTTTTGTCCTGTGCATACATGTGTAATATGAGTATATCATAGGTGGGTGAAGCATGTACATAATGGTCCTATGGGACAAATTAATGCTAAAAGCTTCTGTTCAGTGTGCCATTTCTCTTAAGAGAATTTACAGGACATGGAGGCTACGTGTGCTGGAGGAAGTTGTAGGATGTATGTGAGATGAGGTGGAACACGACCCCATAGTGTTAGTGTTGCCATGGAAAAATGAGTAAAGTCATATGGTGAAAAGAAAATACATCTGCCTGGGAAATTTGCCATAGCGTGGGGAAAAAAATAAAAGTTGACTTTAACTAAAACAAGATCCAGTAGGGAAGTTGTTTAGGCCAATTTCAGATGCCATAACTTGGCTGCTTTCACTCCAGCACTGGCCAGCCCTGTCACATTACTATGCAAAATATTTTCAAGATCACGGCTTGTTGAATTGAGTCCTGGAGTGCAGCCATGTGGCCTGGATCAATGGGAAAGGGCAGCCACACAAGAAAAAGAGTCACGGAGCAGGGGTTAGTGGTGGAATACGGCTCTCTGCCTGGGTGCCATCCATCTCAGGCAGAACAATAGAGCAGGACATATCTGCAGCCTCCCCAGGATGTGTTTTGTCTCGCCCAGAGAGTTGCAGGCGCTTTGCAAGGTCTGCCAAACCAGCCTAACTCACATGTAATCTAGTCTTGCATGGTGTTGAACTGAAGAAGAACCTGTCTCCCCATGCTTTGCATTGCTGTTGCACCTGGTTATAGACCCTAACAAATAAATAAATCAGATCACCCCAAAGACAAATACTTAATCATGGTGACTCACACCATGTTCTGGAGGTCAAAACCCTTAAGTCATGGTTGGAAGTGCTATTGTTCAGTGTTTGCCATTGAAAACTTCCTCTTATTCCTCCAGCAGGCACACACAAAGTCTGTTATTGTTTATATGAAGTCTTTTTATTAAAGGGTTCCATTAGCTTGAGTTGCATTGGGAAATTCCTGAGGTAGGGGTGAAAGTTAATGTGCAGTTGGATATTTTGGACCAGTGAAAGCTTCCTGAAGCCTTTCAGTTCTTGTCCAGTGGCTTTTGAACATAATATTGTACCATCTTTAAGGATGACAGGGCATGCCTGCATACGGCCTATTGCCACCTACCACAGGACGGCAAAAAATAACATCTTCCTAGAAGTCAAGAGGTCAAGAATTAGGTGTAATGGCAAGCTTTTTGTCAAGACAATGAGCAGGCTGATCCCTGAAAGATAGTCATTGAGTTTCACTTCCATCTTTACAGTATTGCACTTATTGGTTTTGGCCACATCCAGTCTCTGTCCTGGTTAGGTACCTGGAAAGCTAATTTGCATTTTGAAGATGTGGTAAGAATTTTGGAGATACAAGTGCTTATTTCTTTCAAAATTGAATATGAAGAATCTGAAGATGTGTAGAAATAAAGGAATGTAGATTCTGTCTAGAAGCCCTTGTTCGTTCACTGGCAGATCATGCTGCCTTAGCCAAGATGTTTGCTATACATTTAGCCAGCTGATGAAAGACTAGATAAGACCATCTGAGACAACTCACCTTTAAAAATGAGCCCTTATCAAGAGAGTTTTTATTCTGAATTTATTATACTTTCTTCAAAGTATTATAACTTTATAAAGTATAGATTTGGTACTGGGTTGTTGGGTTTTTTTTTTTCAGTTTTAGAGGTTACATAGCAGAATTGTATCCAAATCAATGGAGTTTATTTATGACATAACAGTACATAAAACTGAATGTTAAGAAATTCATATACTAACCAGTAAGGAGTAAGGAATTTGCTATGGTTCCTTTTCAGAGCTGGGAGATTCAGATTTTTTCTCCACTGATTTTCTGTCCTTTGATTTCCTTATCTGTAAACCTGATGTTAGTGGATATTTTGAAATACATAGGGATATAAGGGGAGAAAGGACTACACTTATGCTCAGGTTCACTTTCCAGAATGAAAATCTTATATGGAAAAAAAAGGTAGTTTAGAGAAACCCATAGTAGAGCTACTACACGCAACACAGGTTACAAACTCTGGTTTAGCAAATGAAGAATAAAACCTGCAGCTGAAGACCTCAAGCCACAGTTATAAGGTATTGCAGGAAGAGGAGGAGATGAAAAGGTGGGAAGGGCATCACTAGTGTCCTAGGTTTCTGTGCCACTGGAGAATTGGTTAAATAAAAGTAGGAAGTGATGGAAGGAAAGAAGTAAAGAGAGCATGTGCCATGCTATGGAGAGCTACCGGGGGTGCTAAGGGGATTTGACCTGGGTGGGAAATTTCCTTCTATACCTGAATCTGGGTATCAAGTGAATTTTGAGGATGTTTTCATCTTCCAGGAACTGAGAAATTTATACTGATAGAAGCTCTTACAGATCCTGTTTATGTATTGTGTCTAAGCACCTCTAGAGAAAGATATGAGAGAAAGGCAGCTATACAAACCACAACTGCTCCTTCACTTGGTCAGTGAAGCTAAGTTACAAAAACCTTACCTACTGCAGATGATCCTGTAATGTAGTTTTTAAAATATATTGTAGCGAATGGCAAGCAATCCAGTCTTCCAACCATCCTTGGAAAGACCAATGAATCAGTTACCCAAGGACTTGTGCTGCAATTTAATTTGGATTAATTAATTAATGTATGTTTGTTTAGACTACTGTGATCCTTGAGTGGATGGTGAATTTTTAGTTGCTCCTGCTTTCTGTTTAGACTAAGCTCTTCAAGGCAGAGACTGTTTATGACTGTCTGCATGTGATACTCAGACCTGTATGCAGACCTTAGAAACTTGTAAGCACTACTAGAATTCAATATTGGATGAAAAAAATTGACATTTTAAAATATTATTAAAAGGGTTTATAGAAAACTAATTTCTAGGCTTAGCAGCAGTTTTGTATGTATATATAGATTTTACTCCCTATACATTTAGCTTTATCCTCTGGTAAATATTGCTGGAGAAGAGAATTAACTGATATTACTGCTTGCTTACTTGTGGCCTGAACTTATAATGCAGAGTCACAGTCTGGGTTTGTTTTTTTTTCTTTTCTTTTTTTTTTTTTTCTTTCTTTGTCCTGACAGAAAGATTTCGGGATTTACTGCTTCTCCATTCAAATCAAGATACAGAGATTCTGCCCATCTTTCAGCAGAGGCGCTATCCCAAGTAAGTAAGATTGTCTTCTTGGGAAAAAGTTTGGTTTTTTTTTTTTTTTTTTTCTTTTTTTTTTTTTTCTTTCTTTGTCCTGACAGAAAGATTTCGGGATTTACTGCTTCTCCATTCAAATCAAGATACAGAGATTCTGCCCATCTTTCAGCAGAGGCGCTATCCCAAGTAAGTAAGATTGTCTTCTTGGGAGAAATAAAATATCTTATCTATTTACAGCGAGGGAGAGTGAAGCATTTATAGCACTGTACATGCTTTTGGTGTGAAGTCCTAAGGCAGAGCTGTCAGGGAGACCCACTTACACTGAGCTTTGCAGTCCTTCAGCAGTGTCAAGGAGAAGCAGACATGCTTTAAAAGTGTGCCCAGCTGTCAGTGGGGAGGTGGTGGTGGAGTGCAGACGTTAAGTTCCCTGGATCACTGTCTGGTGGAGCTTTGTTTCACTTGACACTGTGTTGACATAGGCAGATGTTTTGTCAAGCTAATCCCCACTCTTGTCTTGTGGGATTCCATCATTTATGGTGACAGATTCCCTTGGATTTTAACAGGCTCCCCTCTGGAAGCCTGCAAGCACTAGAAAGCATTATTTCCTGCACTTTTTAGGGATATATGTACAGGCAAACCAAAGTAATAGTGTTGTGTGTTTAGAAGGTCTCGTATGTATTGAGTATTCTGGACAAAACCTCCTCCTAAGTGACGTACCTGAATGAAACAATAAATGTTCCTTGTTACTATATTGGTTACAAGAAACAGTCACTTTCAGCTAAATCTTGAAAAGAGAGAGTGAAGGGAAAAGTAGAAGAATCAGTCCTCGCATTAACCATGACCAGAGTGAGCAATGAAAGAAGGCTAGTGCAGGGTAGATGGAGGAGAAGGAGGAAAGAATGTGTGGAGCCAATCCAGCAATGATCCAGTAATGATGATGGAAATAAGGAAAGTTATATATTTTAGTCATTATTGTTAGCAGCTTCCTGAAATACATAAGAAGCCAGTGGAGCAAAGTGTTAAATACAGCTCTTAAAATCTGATAATATGATTAAATTAAGAGAAGGAAACAAATAGAGGGGCTGAGTGCCGAAAACCAGTTACCTCCTTACTGTGAATACTTGAAAATAAATACATTCAAGGGTGAAATCCTGATTCTGTAAATGATGAAATTTTGCAGACTTCAAGGGAGACAGGATTTTATCCCCCTGAATTTATCGTTTGCGTTATCCGTTGTCACTGTTTGACTGGAATACTATGGAGATACAATATATGAAACTGTGGGAGGCACCTTATGTGGATGGACTAGTCTACTTGTTTCACTGAGACTTCCATAAATTATTACTTTTCTCCTCACCCTTTGGAGCACTGGAACAGTTATTTTTCCATGGCAGCAGACTACTTTTCTTGGCCTAGATGTTTTCACTTATGGTATGGACACTGTCAGACTGGTGTGAGACACTAGTTTATCGTCCATCCTTAATGAACAGATTTGCCTTTGTACAAATCGTTCCTAAGGTGTCTGACTTTCCATTTCCTTACATTCAATTTATTGTTAGCATTCTTGGCAAGTACAGCCTGCTAGCAATATTACACATTGTAGATTCATGGGTGAATGAGTGCCCGTTGTCTTCTGTTCAGTGGATGCTACAGGTCTTTGGAGATCATATGAGAAATACCTTGTAGTGTGGAGCTGTATTGCCATTTGAATTTATAGTAGTTTTGCATCACAAAATGATACACATTTTCAGCCACGTTACTTGACAAGATTAACTGAGTCCTCTAATATACAAAATCAGCCAACCTTTGACACCAAACTGAAAGAGAAGTTTGCATATGTTCTTAAAAGCGATAGATTTCTGTTTATAGTATCATTAATTGGTGCAAATTTGCTTGCTTGTTACATAAATTTATCATTTATTATAGTTCATTTAGAAACTGCTTGAAGACTATTGACATGTCCTAATTTCCCTAGGGGCTGTCTTTCAAGCGAAATACTTGTGTTCAGTGAGATAGAAAACCTGTTCATCTTCATAATGGTTTTTATCTTATTCCCATGTCACTTTTTCTCCCTTCCCTATGCTCATTTTCACTGAAAGGTCGGTTAACAGAAATGAAGATAATGAACAGACAGATCTCATAAATCAGTGCCCCTTCACTGACTTCAGCTGAGCCGTGGCTGGTTATACTACAGAAGGATATGAGCAGTAAGGTCATTTTAATGAGACGTTGTATTGAGGCACAAGCTGGAGCCTGTAATGCTTAAGGAAATCCTAATATGGAAGGTTAAAAATAGAAGACAAATTTTAGTAATGACTTAGCTGAACAGTTTGACTAAGCAGGGCTTAGTAGGTAGAAAGGACAAAAGTTTGCATGTATTTAAGAGACATATGTCCAAAGGAAGGAGATTGGATAGGAAGATGTTCAGCATCTCTCAGGATATTCAGAGTCATAGTAATAAATATTAAAGGCTAAATGAGCAAACTATAATCCATCAATTTTTGAAAGAAATAGAAAACTTGATGTACTGGCCTGAAATATGTTCTTGTACATTTATTATATTAAGACCTGAACTCTTTCCCAGGGAACAGCAGGATAATTTTGGGTATTTGTTTGAGCTCAGAGAAGATATCTGTGCACTGGAATGGCTGGAAGGAGTTTTCTGGAATATGCATGAACACTGTTCTCGATTTACTAGGGTAAATGGGTCAAAGAAATGTGCTTTGCACTCCTGGTTGATATAACGAAGAAATGCATGATCTTTTTATGGTCCTCGTGTTTGCCTGAGTTTATTCTGCTGGTCCTGGCTTAGTCAAGGAGCAAATACGTACTCTGATACATGGAGTGAGTGCAGAGGAGGGCAACGAAGCTGGTGAAGGGCCTGGAGCATCAATCTTATGAAGAGCAGTTGAAGGAGCTGGGACTGTTTAGTTTGAGGAAGAGGAAGCTGAGGGGAGACCTCATCACTCTCTACAACTACTTGAAAGGACACTGTAGAGAGGTTGGTGCTGGTCTCTTCTTGCAGGTAATTAATGACAGAATGAGAGGGAATGGCTTCAAGCTCCAACAGGGTAGGTTTAGACTGAACATTAGGAAAGAATTTTTCACAGAAAGAGTGGTCGGGCATTGGAATAGGCTGCCCAGGGAGCAGTTGTTTAAGACGTGTTTAAGAGCTGTTTAATTGTGCTGTTGGGGGATATGGTGTAGGGGAGAACTTTGTAGAGTAGGGTTGATGGTTGGACTCGATGATCCCAAGGGTCTTTTCCAACCTGAATGATTCTATGATTCTATGGAGGAGATTATAGAGAGGTCTGAGCTTACAAAGACTCAGGTTGGTAAAGCCACACAGCACACCACAGTGCTTCCTTGACTTATCATAGTGGGTCCACGAGTAGCATGGCATCATGAGCACCGGTTCTTATCATGGCCTGTGGGCTGAGATGCAGTACTGTGCCAGCAGATTGGTACCACGTCCGTCCAGTCAGCCCAACCTGCAGTACGTGTCCTCTCACTTTTCTGTTCAAGGTTGTAGAGCAGAAGGAGCATGGCTTTGTCTTACGCTTCACTTACCTGACAATGTAACTGTGTCTTGGAAAAATTATAGTTATTGGAGAAGGAATATGGAAGCATGTTCTCCCATAAATGCCTACAGTGGTACCTAAGGAAACATACAGCACTGCACGTGGTTGCAGGTTAGTAAACTAGTGGGACCAGTTTAATCCAGGAACTTTTTGATACCTCAAGTGATTGTCGGAGGATGAAACATGATTAGGAAATCAAACATTGCTAGACCCTCCCTCATCCATCTCATCAGGAAACCCACCCATCCACAGAGAGAAATGTTTTGAAGAGAAAGTCTCTCTTAGCTGACATGAAGCCAACTCCATGTCTGTGAGGATTCACATTCCTGAAACTAAGAATAAACCTGCAGCTGTGGGCAGCCAGATAAGTTGGGGAGCGTGGCAGCTCCTGGGAAGAGCCTCTGCATGTGAACCAAATCACAGGCATACTTGCGGTTTGTTCCTTCTTGCCCTCACTCCATGAGAGTGCTGAAGTCACCAAGGTGAGTTACACCAATGCAATCAGGCCTGTCAACAAATTAAACCTGTTGCAATGAGCCTTATACCGACTCATTACTTTGACAATGAGCATGAGAGCTCCTATATATCATTAAAAAAAACTTTTCAGAGTTTCACTTTTCGCACATTTCTGCAGGAGCTTTTCTCATGTTGGTATCAAGCTTTTCTCGGTTGCCCACGTCACTGATGATGTTTTATCACACAGATTCACTACTGCTGTTTTATCACACAGATTCACTCTTTAAAAGCAAGAACTGCTGAAGTGCTGACACAGCCTAAAGAGGATTTCTCCTGAAGAAGACACTATCCTGAAGAAGACTCATTAATTGGGGTGTAGGGTCCAACATGTGGCAGGGTGGTTGGTGCTAGCAGTGGGGCCTAGGTCGCTCCATCCCGCCGGGATCTTATAGGCTTTTCCTGCTGACTCCACTCCATTTCTGACCACACGTGTTGTGTGCACAAGGGCAGGATGTGCAATTGCCTTGCAACACCAGAGAAAGGTGTCTCTTGCAGCTGGGTCTGATAACGTCAAAAGGAAAAAAACAAAACCCAAAAGAGCAGAAAGATAAGGGAAGTGATAAAATAATCACAAGAGTGAGGTTGGTGGTTAAAAAAAGGTAGGAGAGAGTCTGTACAAAACAGCCCTTGAGAGGGATGCACCAGAAATACTACTGGTGCTAGAGCTTTTTAGTAAATTTCTCTGTGTATAAGTGACTTGAGAGTTCAGCTGTACTTTATATTTCAAGATATTGATGAAATCCTCAAAACATATGTGGGTTTTTTAGAGGGATTATTTGCTTCTTTTTTTCCCCCTTCAGAAATAGTTGCAGTCTTCATTCTTATCTTCTGTGGGTTTGGTGGAAAAGTTCTTGGATGATTCACAGATTTCGAGAACAGAAGGAGCTGTTATGTTCCAGCTAATTTGAGTCCCTTCTTAAC